ATATTTATATACATACTAAAATAAAAAACTGAGAAAACGTTGACCGTATATACATGAATAATAATGAGTATAAAAAGGTGTGAAAACAAAGAATGTATGTAATTTAAATATTGTACAATAAAATGAGGAACAAAGAAAGAAAACTAAAGCACTATTAAAATACTTTAGCCCGAATAGAGTCACTTTGCACATTTAAGCTGGGTTTCAGTTTGTTAATAAAAAACAATTATATTAATCAAGCAGTCCCATTTTGACCAGCATTTAAAGAAAAGTTTCCATGTTTTTGGGAAGCACGGATGGCATAGCGGTGAGAGCGCTCGCCTCTCACCAATTAATGTGAACCTGGGTTCGGGTCCCGCTGAGCTCAGTGTCGTATGTGAGTAGAGTTGTTTGTTGGTTCTCTCCTGTGCTTCGAGGGTTTTCCGGGTTCCCCGGCTTTCCTCCCTCCGCAAAAATCAACTCCTAAATTCCAATTGGAATGACAGTGGATGAATAACTACTCTGTATAAATGCCAATGGTAAATCCCATTTATTTAATTTATTTATATTCATTTTTCTTTTAAATGTTTACATGTATATATAATTCTAACTAGAATACACAAAAATAACCTAAAGATAAGGATACTCTATCAATTAAATGCTGTTTTAAACAAATATGCTTTCAGTGCCCTATTAAACCCCTGCACTGAGGTTGATTTTCTAAAGTCTAAAGGTAAATCATCCCACAATTTAGGTCTAGGTACGGCAAAGGATATGTCAACATAAGTTTTAAACCTAATCTTAGGAACTACTAAGAAATACTTCATACTAGAAAGTAATGATCAGTAATTTCAAGGGAATAAAGACAAATTTAACAATGAGACTTTTCGTGCTAAACAATTAAGGGATTTACATACCAATAACATTAGCTTAAATGTAATCCTAAATTGTACACACAACCAATGAAGCATAGTTAAAATAGGAGTGATATGGTTATATTTCTTAGTAAGTGTAACAACGCGAGCTGCTGCATTTTGAACAGACTGTTAACTATTGATAAGATTCTTAGGAATACCATATAGTACAGAATTACAATGATCAAGTTTAGAAGTAATAAAATCATGAATTAAGATCTCACATTATATTTCCAACTACTAAATTATCATAAAATGTTTCAAACATGACAGACATATTTTAATTTTTATAGCAGTGACAGATTTAGGAAGGTGCAGGAGGGGCATGTCAACTCTTTGTGAAATCAAGGTCATCATTTAAGGACAAGCTATTCAAATTGACTGATACAGTTAAACTTTAAAATTTAGTTTGGTTACATTTTACATACTATTATGGTAATTATTCGTTAAAATATTTGCACACTTGTGTCCAGCAAGAAATATGATGGAAATAATATATACAAGCAAAATAAATAGTGTGTAATAAAAAGGTATATTTGACTGACATTTTGGTTCTTAGTATTTTTTTATTGCACAGTATTGAAATTACATATTTCCTAGATTATAAAGGACAGGTTTCAGCAGTAATAAACAGACAAATGAAAGGTCAGCTAGGCTAAATCAACCATTGTTCATTTACGAACTGATTTGAGATAAAACACTWGGCAGTTCCTTTAGTGCATCGATTGTGAAATCTGGGGTGGGATAACCAGCTGAAGTACATTTTTGCTGACTCTCATTTTTGACCCATACAGTTGCCTTCATTCCAGCATTTATACCCCCCTGAACATCAGACATAAGATCGTCACCAACCATGATACATTCTTCAGGTAACACTCCGAGACTCGAACAGGCTGTATGGAAGATAGAGGGGTGTGGCTTGGGATAAAGCTGCTCCCCACTTATAATTATGGCATCAACATATTCCCTAATACCGCACGTTTGAAGTTTCTCTCTCTGGATTACTGGGTCAGCGTTTGTGATAATGGCTAACTTATATCTTAAACGCAGTTGACTTAATGTTCTAATTACTTCTTGATCTAAAGAAATTCCTTCTAAACGCGAAAACCTCCAAAGATGGTAAATGTCATGTGCATTGGGTTTTGTACAGCTGATTGGTACGAGATTTATCGCTTGTTGCCATAGTTCAGTCCTCCATTTATGAGGGTCGATAATTCCTTTGGGATCTATAGAATGGAAAGCCAATTTTTCCAGGTATTCATTTACTATCAGTTCGACGTGTTTCATACATAACGAACGTCTTAATCTTTCTTTTACCTTTTCTATGGCACTGATATCTGATTTCGTAGTTTTAACGAGGGTATCGTCAAAGTCAAATAGAATACCACGAACTCCAGAGGAAGACATTACAGCACGGATGAGAGAAAACTGGACACTAATTTAGTGGTTATTTAGGGATGGATATTTCTTTCTTATTTTGTTATTTATCTTTTTTAGTCTATACGGAAATAATTATTTTATTGATGCTGAACTAGTACAAGCCTCCTTGTGCACGATATCAGTCCGTGCTGTACTAATGCACAGTTACTAGTAAGACCGGGAAGTCTAAAAGGAATAAGTTCCTAACTCGGAAAGATATGATTTTGGAAAAGTGTGAATTTTGTAACTGAAAACGTTTGCTGGTAGATACTTGGAGACGAGGTTTTCTCCCTCCGTAGTCTTCGAAAATTCATGATCGCGATTTTTGAACTTACTTCASTCCTTCAGGGGCCACAGTGGAGGTGGTCAGGGGTGACAACAGAGCCCAAATTTGTTCCTTTTCCCATAATAGTCTCTAATGTTTTTAAATCTTACCCTCCCTCCCCCCACTTTTTCCCATACTAGTCTCAATCTTAACCCTCAAACTCCCTCCCCCCCCCCCCCCCCCCCCCCCCCCCCCCCCAACCCCCCCCCCCCCCCCCCCCAACACACACACTTTTGAGGATACTACGCGTCCCCTGTCCTTCAAACTTGGCTTTTTTACTTCTGTCTTGTTCACCACACGATAAAGCTCATTAGCCGATTGTAAAAGGCTTTGTATTGAATAGAGCTATTTTAATCCAGGCAGCGAGGTTTTATCTTAATTCGCATAGCCCTATTCGTTCTGCTGTAAATGCGGGAAAACATCGTTTCGGATTTGCTCAGTGCCGAGGTCAAGCGCTACGACGCTTTTCAGACCAAATTTTATGACCACTAGACAAAAGATAAAATTCAGGTAAATATAAATGATGCAGCGAGTGAAAAGTCTAGATTTATTGATGAACTGCAACTGCAACTGGTATAGCATGCAAATACAACTAGAACCAATAAAGAGGTTTAATCGAGACTGTTTAGTTTGAGGAACTAATTAATTAGTTATATACAGAGTTGATTAGTTAATCTTTTGAACAAACAAAGTGACAAATAACGAATGAAAAGGCAACCCATCATTTGGTCTGTTTGGTACAAACTTTGTCAGCCGTGTTGTTCGCCAGCAGTTATACGCGAGAGCTTATACGGCAACCTATGTACTGAATTTTCAGATGTAACGATGAATATATGAAATGGCTGGCATTCATCTCCCTGATATTGGAAAACTTGGAATCCATATAGCGACTGGAATCAACGACAAGAAGAAAGTAGCACCTCTGAACACGGTAGAAAATGCTCGATTAAAAGCAATTTCAAACAAAATCGATTAGAATAGAATAGAATAGAATACCTTTATTTAAACACGATAAAATTTAAAGCTAAAAGCTTGTGGGGTCGTGCATAAAATAAATTAAATAAATAAAATATAA